TGAATCAGACAATTTGAAATAGTAATTTCAGTTAAGTATGCTATAAGAATACACATTTAAACTATCTAGGCATTAAAAGGCAAACTTGATATAAACTAATTTTAACCCCCAACCATTATATTGATGTTCATTCAGAGGGCCAGCATAAAATATATAGAATTTTATTTAAATCACACAAGTAGAGCACATTTCAAAGAAGAATACAAAAATATTTACAACTTTCTAGTTAATTTACTTGTAAAATAAATAAGAAAAAAAAAAAAACCCCGAAAATTGCAGAACATTTCTGAAAATCTATCTATATTTCCGAGATGAGATATTGTAACTATTACACTATTTACATCATTTGGCTGTTGTATGCTCCAGCTTTCTTCAGGCAATATATATGTTGGAATATTGAAAATCATTTAGCCTATGGAGGTAGATTATTCTAATTCCACATACCATGCCTTTTCTGGATATCTCATTTTCAGTTAATTTTTTTTAGTAACTAAACTTTTCAAGTTTTTGTTCCCTCTGCTGTGGCCAGGTATCGAACTCCCAAATCTTTGGGTAAAGTCACTGAATTACTTCAAACAACACTTTTATCCACTGGGCCAAAATGTGAATATGACAAAGATGAGGATAATAGTCCAAACAATGTAAATATTTGAATTTCTAATTTCATTTAAAGAGGAGAGTTGTCAATTATTTCAATGTTAAGAGCTGTAATAATACAAAATTCAGAAAAAAAGAGAAAGATTGTGAAGAACAAAAAACGCACAAGTATAAAATGGTAACTAAGAATTTAAAAGAAAGAACTAAATGAAGATAGAGAGAGATAAAAAAAGAAGCTTGAAATCAATGTTACAATTCTGGGACATGATCTATTAAAAGTCATTAACAATAGCTTATATAAAAGACTACAGACTATTTCGCATAAGAAAAAAAAAAAAAAAAAAAAAAAAAACACTGGTGTTGGCTGTAAAATTACAGAATGTTTTAAACCTAGACTTCAAGAATTACAATAACTATTCCAAACACAAACCAAAGAAAACAAAACTGAATAGAAAAGAAGATTGGTGTTATAAAAAAATCTAACAAATGTGGAATTAAATAAGTCTTTATTTATACGGATTGGCTTTGCAATTGTTAAACAGTATCAATATGGTACATTGACAGCTGACTCCATGGCCTTGAAATATAACAATAGACATGAAGGATAAAATAAAAAGGATAATTACTCCATTTCAAACAGTTGTTCTCAGAGCATTTTTTAATAAAAAGGTTAAAAGGATAATGAGTTCTGTGTATTGTTGACACCAAAATGTTTGAACAGTTTTCCACAAGGTCAGTATGAAGGGCACACATCAAAATGCAATTGATTTTCAAGTTTACCCTTATTGAAACATTTCTTATCCAAGAAATCTACAAGAGGCCATACACTTTGAAGTTTTACTAAAGTACATTATCATTGTTTTCCTATCCAATATCTTACTCTTCCAATACACAACACCTAATTTCCAAATCTGTGTTCTTCAAGGTAAAAAGATGCTCAAATTTCCTGTGCAAATTTATGGCCCCCACATTGATGCTAAAAAAAAAAAAAAAAAAAAAAAAAAAAGATTTTTAAACCAAAGGGTTCTAAAAAGTTAAACAAAAAAACAATCTTTGATCTTTTTAATAATAACACAGATTTTGATAAAATTATTTTTATTAATTCTACAGCATTTTTCTCATTATCTATCAACTCTTTTAACAAATTTTTGAAAGGCACCGAATTAAAATAGATCAAATTTTTGTATGTGATTTTAAAGTGCACAATGTTAGCAGAGAAAAGCAAAACTGTCTCTTTATTGTTACTTTCACTTTCAGACTAAACATTTCTGCTAGAAACCTGTCATGACACAATACTACAGAGGGTAAAGAGATTCACTTCATGATGGCTTAAAATAGGGAGACCACTTTTAAATCCAGAACAATACTATACAGATTGGTTATATTTTTATGCAATATTGATATTTGTATTAATTAATACCTTGTTATTTCATGTTACAGCGTTTGAAATATGTGCTTTCTGTGATAAAAAGGTAAAAATATTTTAGTCATTTTATGAAGTATTGTGTGTAGGCTTACTAAAGCTATTTTCTTTATATCAATAACTGAACTTTTTTTTGGTCTCTAAAATGAAATCAGTTTTGAAACATGGCATATTGTACTTAAAAACAAATACAGACAAGCTTATATTGCAGTTACACTGACAAGTGAACAGACACTGCAACATTGATCTTATTTTTACTTGCTCTAGTCAAATAAAAAAGGTTTTCCTAATCTTTTTTAAGAGATAAAATTTCACTAATTATATTATCTAGCAACTAATTAAAATCATGCAATGAAAAGTTTTTGAAAAAATAAATAAAAAGCCTGAAAATATGAAATTGATGCAATCCATTTTTTAAGCATTTTAATGACTCAGTTTAAATTACATATTGTTGCATAAACCTTTTTATGGCTATAAAAAAATAACTTTTATAAAAAAAATAAATTTGAAATTGTCATTTTCACTTATACTTGAAAAATTGTTCACAACTTAGTCATATACTTAATTTTTTTATTATACAACACCCACCTAATTTTTCATCATTCCAAACAATTTCTGCATAAACTGAAAATACATCCCTTATCATTTTTCTATTTTTTTTTAACTAACCTCATATTCTGAACTCTTCTTTAGATTTGGATACACAGATATTAATAAAGAAAATTTTGTGGACTTCCAATGATGCAATAATATACATACTAAAAAGTAGAATCTGTGGAAAATCTACAAGAAACTAGGAAACCAAAGTGGTATGACAAGCCCAGAATTATTCCCGGTGTAAAGAGAAAAAAATATCCCACTTCCGTGAATTTATTGTTTTTTTTTTTATTTATTTTTTTAAACCATCTCATATAGACTGAAATAATTTTCTTTATTGAAAGATTAAAATTAAATTTCAGTTTATACTTAACGAAAAGGAGGGAAAAAAATAAAATAAAATAAAATTTTTATTTTGGACGCATGTATTTTCAAATCCAATGGATAGCTCAGAATATGAGGCTAGTTAAAGAGATTTCAATCAATGTAATAAAAAAAGAAATACTCAGTGATATGATCAAATCGTTTGGAGCGGTGAACTTAATAAATACTAAGTTTTAAACAAAGTTCAAGTCAATAATACTTTGTACATAATGATTTGTAGGTTTATTCAATTGTCATTACACAGCAACATATAGTGAAGTGAACCAACCACAAGCTAAAAAATACTTAATTAGTATAATTCGCATTTGTATGCGAGAAATAGTAAGAAATATACATTTTTTTTACACTTTTTACAAACGGAGCAAAGGGGGGAACTTCGTGTTTTAAAGTATATTTCGTTAAAGTAGAGTAGATTTTATTTATTTGTAGGTAGGTGATGGTAAATCCTAGAAAATCATTCAATCAATCTTAATTTTATTACTCAAGGTGATTAAGGGTCGTCTTGAGGCCAGGGGTATACATTGTTATTGTTAAATTATGATACGAATAATAAAAGTGAAATGGTGAAACAACTTGACTATAAAGTTAAGTTCTAAAAAGTCGGTGACAAAGTGATATCCACCCAGCTTCGTTTCAAGAAATTTGACAAAAAGTAAAAAAAACGCTGTTGTTGACTATTTCAAGCAAAGCTGGTTAATTCAAAAAGTAACTATAAAACAATAACTGATTATTAGTGGAATTTCTAAATTTAATACCAATTCAGTTTTTTTACTTTTTTTAAGATTTAAAAAAAAATCTAATTTTACTTAATAAAGAATTTCAAAACGATGAGAAAAACGTTTTAAGTTTTAAATCAAGAAATTCGGAGGGAAAAGATTTTTTTACCAAATTCGGAATTCAATTCTTGAAACCTCTGAGATTGTTGAATAATTTCAGGTGTTTTTTTTTTTTTTTTAAGTTTTTGCATAAATTTACGATAACGAAAATACGCCAAGTAGTCTAGTATTTTTTTCATATATTTCATTAGGTGTGACTTTCTACAATGTCAAAAAAATAAATATTAATCACTAATGACTAGGTAACAGCCGAAAATAAATTTTTACATTAGGTAGGAAAAATAAATTTCATGGAATAGATTGTCGAAGTGTCACACCACCTGTTCTTGTTTAGAGATGAAACCAGGAAAATAATAATTAATCAAACTATAGAAGTTTTACTGGATCACCGATCTTATACGAATGAAACAAATTCCAGTCATTCATTTTTAAATTTAGTTCTTTTTTTTTAACCAAAAAAACACATTTAATCGATAAACATGAAACAAGAATTTTCTTCTTAATTCTAAAGGTGAAAAGAAAAAGGACTATGAACCAAATAGGCTAAGAAACATATTCGACGTTTTTTTTTTTTACCTTTGACAACAAAAAGTAGCAACATGTCAGCAGATTATTAAGTATTACCTTTTTAAATAAACACACACATGTCTTAAAGAAGTAGTAACAGTAACACCTAACCTCGTTGATGCGATGAATAAGAAGATCCGTGTAAAGAAAGGATTTCATATTTAAATACAAAATTAGTTTACCGGTTTAAAAGCTGACAAACGATAACTGAAAAATATACACGGAACGAATTTATTTAAATAAAAAAAATAAATAAATTTTAAAATGAGTTTAAACATGGTCACAAAGTGGGGGGGTTAGTCCGTTACTTTAAAACAAGAAGAGTATGGTACTTGTGACCATATCGTTATTTTACTTAAATCTAAATAGTATAAAAAAGACAGCTTCAGTCATTTTCATTTATTCATCGTTAAAGTTAAATTTAAAAACAATAAGAGTTTTCTGTTACGCATTTAACATTGCGTTGCAGGTTAAATTAAACCTAAATCGGTATCTCCTTCTTTCCTTTTGTGGTGTTGGAATAAGGAAAACCTAAACATACTGGATAATACAAGAATAGGAAAATAAAACACGTGAAAATGAACATAAAAGCATACCTTTGTGGCTGTAATAGTTTTTATCCCTTGTTCTGGTAGACCTTTGCTGTTTTGGGTGGCATAAACAAGAAGAAGAAAGATTGTATAAAAGCTATTCATTGCTAACATCCTTCAACGACAGCGTCACTACATGATGTAGTCACGCACAGAATATGAGCCCGATATGAAAAAAGGCAAGAACATAACAACGTGTCAGAAATGACAGTTAAATTTGCACTTACCTTTGGACAAATTCAAAAGTAATATACTTTTTTTAATTAAAATGTTTTATAACTATTTGTACTTGGGAATAATCAAATATTTATAAAAGTAATGAGTAAATAGAATGGGGGAGCGAATTAAGTTATTTGGTGCGGGGTTAATGTTCAATGGCGTCGCCTCGCACATTGATCGGCTGCTTACGTGCGTAATATTCGTTGGTCAAGTCTTTGTTTGTCCTAAATCCATTTTTCCGGCTGGTTCGCGTCATCGGATAGACAATTGTGACTTGTAAACTTCGGTGCCTTTTTTTTTTGTACGCAGTTGTGGAGGAGAAGGACAAAGACTTGGGGAAAAAAAAAGATGACGCTGAATAATTTCCAGAAAACGTTTATTATATATATGGTTTATTTGCTGACGATAATTTTAGCAGAATTCAGTCCGTTTATGGACAATGAATTATTTCTTATCAATTGGGCTGGACCTATTCCTGTCGGCAAAGTAAGACAATTGACCATAAACAATGATTTATTTTTTTCAGAGCAACAAAAGAAAACAATTCATTTCTTTACCTACCATGGTCTAGCTAGAGATTCACTTTTTTAGTTAAACTTTTAAATCCTAGTAATTTGTTTTGTTTTAATTTTTAAATTAAATGTTGCTTGTAGAGTGTTAAAAAAGATTATCGTAAGAGTATACTCACAAGAAGATAAATTTTTCTTTTAACTGCATTCAGTTTTGTTGCTGAAATTGAAAGACGTTCTTCGTCCAGTGCGTTCTTTTTCCTTAAAAATTAAATACTAACTACAAAAAAAAATCCTTTCTTTCATTGTCTTAATTTTTTTTTTTTTTTTGACAAATGGATAGTTTGAGATTAAAAATAGTAAATTTATTTATAGTAAATTTTCTATTTTTGTTATTTTCCTATATTCATTTTTCCTTTATAAATGTTATACAATTGTTGTTTAAATTTGTTTCTTTTGTTACGGTATTAAACTTTGTAAAAAAACGATTTAATAATTTTTTTACAACAGCACTCAAAGTAACCTTTTCCTATCATAAAATATATTGTTATTGTAAGAGACCCCCAAAAGTTTAACCGTTTGACCTGTTAAAAATGTTACCTTAATGAATAAAATCACCTAAAAAAAAAAAAAAAAAAAAAATCATTCCCCAAACCTTTTTTTTAATGAACTCAAAATTATCCAGTTTACTATTATTCAATTTAAAAATGGATTTAGAAAGCTATAAAAATGTTTAATCAATAAATCATATAGTTATTGATCGTTAAATCAATGAAAAAAACCTAATCAGTAAAGAAAGACAATTTTTTTTTTTGTTTACATTTTATTTTTTTCTTTCAATATGTAAATTTTAGAGTTTAATTATTTTAATTATTACTTATTTTTTAAACTTTAAAGATAACTTCTTAACCATTACATAATTCCTTTGGCTGCTAAAAAGTCTTTTTTTCTCTCTACAAAAAATGACCAAATTACTCTCAACTCAAGTATTGATTCTATGTTTTTTTTTATTCATGTTCTTGATCTAATTTTAAATTTTGTTATTTCTTTTAAAATGTCAAACTATACAGAAGGCTTTTGTATTTGCGTGACATTTTCTAACAAATGAATTTCTCATCAGATTATTTACACCTGTTTTCCAAAGTTTTAATTTCCACTTAACAAAAGCCTCAAAGCAGTTAGCATTTAAAACTGCAAGTAAAGACCTGGACTATATTGGGATGAATCTGATAACTGTCTACAGCTGTGTTAAATGAAGTGTCTTTTTGGGTATTTTTAAAATTTGTACTACCCATTGCTTCTCAATTTCTTTGTTCTTGTTTTTGGTTCTCCAATGAAGTAAAAACAATTTACAGAATGAAAATGTCTAAAGTTTTAAAATAATGTATTTAATCTAATGGACTAATTTTGTAATGGCTGCATTAATTGATGAAAATGCTTTAATATGTCCTGCTATTAAATAGGAAAATAATAAATTATAAATATATTCAATATATGTCATTGATTTTTGTACACAAATGCATTTTTATTGTTTAGAAATCCTATATGTATATAAATCCTACAAATATCAATTTTTAATTATTTATCTTGATTTCTGTCTGAATTTCTGGGATGAGGAGTTATTATTGTGAGAACCATCTACACTAAGGATTTCTTATTTTAGTACTGCTCAGTTATTGCTCACCCTGTTTCCATGGAGTCCAAGTGCACACTGTCTGGTCCAGGGATTGGACCAAATACTGACATAGTGAGGGGTGAGACAATGAAATCAAGCATGGCTGATCATGTATGGAGAGAAAAGGGTAATCATCAGCCCTTTGAAATGAAGTGAAAATACAGCACAAGGACCTTTTTAGTAGGCATAGCATAGAAATAAATATATGGGAGCTGCTAATAAAGAAAGATAAATGACAGCAGGTCTTCAACAAAGGCAGCAGCTGTAACAAAAGAGAAAGCTTCATTGAGTGCAGTCCAGCATGAACCGCAGCATTCATCAGCAGGCAGGTTAGGTTTAGGCCTCCACATTCTCCACACAGAATTGTCCTAACGATAAGTGTTAGTTTTCAAATTTGGTGACATATTAATTTTCAATTGCGGGGCCGGGCAGTATATACTTGGACTTAGTGGAAATGTAGCAAACAATAACTGAGCAGTACTAAAATTAGAACTAGACAAGATACCCCTAGATATGGGCAGTGGAACAAGAACAACCTACCCCTGCAGCTTAAATAAAGAGTTCATTTCAAAATTCACTGTAGGTTATCTGGATCAAAATACCCCTGATGAAGGCTGGAGGGCACAACCTCAAAAGTGATAACAACAGAGATGAGGACAATAGTCCACATGTAAATAATTTATCTTGATGTTCAAATTCAGGCTACTATTTCAGCTTTACATGTAACTGTTATCTTTATTTGGGAATTGGTATGTATATAAGAATTTCTCTTCTGACAGGAAGATTCCACCAAATCTCATTCTGTGACTGTAATGACAAATAACAAAGAAAAATATCACTGCATTCTTCCAGAAGAGAGCCGGAATGATATAAATGTAAGTAAAAATTTCCTTATCCCTAATTTATCTTCATCTCAAGTGGAAGATGTCTTTTATTAAATCAGCAAGCTTGAAAAAGCAAAGAAAGATTTACAATAATTGTTCTCCAAATATAATATTGTTGTAATTTTTTTTTTCATCATTTCACCCCAAGTAAGGCAATTAAATCACTAAGATGCAAGAGGTTACTGAAAGTGAAAGAAACTGTGACATGTTATTGAGGAGAAAAGCCAATAAAAGAACAGGATTCAAAAAGTCAGAAGATGACGAGTGACATTGCATTAAAATTTTTGAAGATCACATTTGCCAGCAATGCAAGAAGCCAGAAGAGTTCCACAGGTGAGAAGTGCAAGAAAAGAAACTATTAGAACTTACAGTTAGATCTGGCAATTTCAACAGCAAAATGACGAGACCTAACTGCCAATCTAGTAATGCATTTAAATTCATAAAGTTGAGCTATCAAAAAGAAAAGCCCATTAGAACAATTTCCATGAAAATATTTATAGAAAAGGCACAAGAAGTCTATGTAATAGCAGTTGTGAAGTGATTGGAATTGAGATACCAGGTCAGGACCAATAACATTGCAGATTCTCTGTTAGGTTTTGTCAATAATCTCTAGAGACATAACAGAAGTTCCAAGAGCACATGGACATGGTGTAATGGTTAGCAAGCTTGTTTCTCTAGATCATTTACGACTGAATGGTGAGTTCAATCCTCACTGGGTGCCCCCATACTTCCCACCTTGTGCCACATCTAAGCTGTGCTTAGAAAATCACCATATCAGAAGCACCAGAAGTGGTAACAATACTTAATGCATGGACAAATGAAGACTTATAAATGTGCAAGATACAATAATAGTAGATATTGATGTGTAAAGACTGGCTAAATATACTAAGCTAGGAATTGAAATTCTATGTATATGTATGTTTTGAGCCTTCTCAAGGCTTACCAAGAGATATGAAGGAATTACTGTCTTTGAACTTCAGTTTAATTCATAACTGACAACAATTATAATTTACTGGTTCAGATTTAAATGGGTGTGCAGTTGGTGTAATGCTTAGTTGCTCAGAAGGAGAATATGAGCCGAGTTCAACTTCAAGTCATATATGTTGCATTCACTTTTTCACAAATACCCTTGGGAACAGTATGTACTCATCTCTTCTCTCTCCAGTTATGGGTTAAATAGCAGGGCAGACTGAACTCTCTAGACATAGTTGGGAACTTATCTAGGAGAAGGAAAAACTCTAAATTTATATGTAGTCCTGGTGAAGCACATACTATGCAGTCATTGAAAGGATTGTAGTGTTCTCAATGACACTATGATCCTGACTGTAGTCAATATGATAGTGTAAACAGGAATTAACACAATTTACTTTAGAAATAATATGTAAGAATCATACATATTTTCCTTCTTACTTCTGCCTACTGACCAAAAATAGAAATTGAAACATGAAATACATAGTCAATATACAATAATGTTGTATAATTTTTACAATTTTCCTCTGAATGAATACCTGCTGAGCAGAAGTGCCAAGTTTTTGACAATGGTATTTTTGTTAGGTTTTCAGATTCACAGAAGGAAAATGGGAATATTGACACTTCTGCTCAAATCTTTAATTCAGAGGAAATGGTAAAATGGCACAAATTATTATGCACAAGGGAAAAGGGCTAATTCTTAGAGATATGCTCTACAACATGGAGTAGAAATACAGACTGCCAACTGGCCAAATACATGGTTTCATTCTGATAAGGGTGTAGTAATCAATTCAACAAAAAAGGATTCAGTAAAAATGATTACTAAAAACAGTTGTAAAAATAATGAAATCAAAAATCAATATATTTTCATGCAAACATAATTTCTTTAGAAATATGCAAGAGTCAATGTTCATAGCTCTGGATTCAGGAGTCGTGTTTTCTTTTGAATAAAAGAAATGGGAAAAATCTGAACACAGCTCAAACACTGAAAAAGCAATTATTAAAAACTGTTATTGCAAATGCAATAAGCAAGTAGATATTCTTTGAATGATTAATTTTTATAAAAATGTGTGTCTAATGAATATGTGAAATAATTAAATTCTATATGTTATGAAAAGATGAAAGTATTACTAGCCTTAACACCCAATGGTCTTACCTACATGAAAGTTTGCATGCAAATAGATATAGTAAGTGTAGTGATACTAGCAAATTATTATGCATAATTTGCATAGGCATAAGTGAACACTCTTATAAGTGGTCACTGAGAATAACCACCAGAAGTACGAGTCTAGCGGCTGATTAGTGCTAACGTCTACTTCACAACAATGGTGTCGCCGATAGGATACCAATTATCTCTGGAAGATCCAGAATTCGTGGATACTTGGATTCGTTGTTTCTCTGCCACTGTGAGAACAAAAAAGTTGAAAGACAACAAGGAAAAGGGAGACGAAAATGAAATCACGGATTTATTTTTGGCTATAGCTGGATGCGAGGCAGTAATGAAAGTCTCCACCATGGCATATCCCTTAGATTTGGAAGACCTGACTTTTGAAAAAATAAGTCAGATTATAAGAAGAAATATGAGACCCAAGAAGGGCTGGTAGTGGCAGAAAGAACAAAATTCATGTCGATGAAACAAGAAATTGACGAACCAATTATAAAATATTTACACTGTCTATGAAATGCAAGTAGATATTGTGAATTTGAAAAACTTGGACAAGACGAACAGACTATTGAAGAGGACTTGATTCAATTAAGACTAATTGAAGGTATGTCCAATGCATCACACTGATATAAAATAATGGAACAGTTACAAATAGGAAATATGTCTTTAAATACATGTATTGACTTTATGCAGCAACAAGAACTAATACAGAAATACCACCATCATAAAAGTCAACCCGGCGAACAAAATTTCACTGATACGTACATATTAAAGAAGATAAAAAAAGTGTTCGTATTGTGGACGTGAACATGAAATAAAAAAGGTAGTGTCCAGCATTTGGGAAAACTTGTAATAATTGCTTAAAAAAGAACCACTTTCAAGCAGTGTGTAAATTAAAAAAGAAAAATATTGAAAGAATTTAAGAAAACAACACCGATAAGGAAGTTTTTGCATTGAAAAATAAGACTTTGGAACATAAGAAAAAAGACATTATAGTGAAGGTCAAAATTAATAACTGCAGTTTAGATATGCAAATGGATACTGGGAGTGAAGTAACACTGATACCAAAAAATTTTTGGGAATACATTGGTAAGCCACCTTTACGAAAAAGCAGTTTACAACTCCACCAATTTGATGGGTCGGTTATAAAAACATTAGAATACTTTGACGGTTCATTAGAGTTAAAAGAAAAATTTGAAATAATACCTATAATTGTTACAAGTTGTAAAAAAAAACCACGGGCTTATTGGAAATGATGTGTTTAATATAAATTCTACTAAGTTGATTAATGAAATAAAAATGGAAAAAACTGGGAAGTTAAAAAACTATGAAGCAAGTTTAAAAGAAAATGTTTCCCCCTCTTATTATGAGGCATGAAAATTACAAGTACATTTATTGCCATTAGTAGTGACAAAGCTACGTAAATTAGTAGAACAAGACCTTCTTGAACATGTTCCGCCTGGAGGTAGCAAGTGGGCATGACCGATTGTAGTTTTGAGGAAAACAGATGGTGATTTACGTATTTGTGGAGATTACAAAATAGGAGTAAATCACAAAATATGCTCGGATTCATATCCTATACCCAATGTTGAACTTGCATTACATGCACTGGCAGGGATGTCTGTTTTTTCAAAAATAGATTTAAAAACGGCATACCACCAAATAGCAATAGACGAAAACTTCAAAGAAGTAACCACGATAAATACACCAATAGGGTTCCTGAGATGGAAAAGAATGCCATATGGAATAAAAACTGCAAGCGCCATATTTCAAAGGGCCATTGAACAGGTTTTAGGAAATGTACAAAATATGGTTTGTTACCAAGACGACATATGCATAGGAGCTACTAATGAAAAGGGATTAAAAGAAAAAACTGACTTAGTCTTGAATAGATTAAGAAATGCTGGAATGACGATAAATGAAAAAAAATGCGTAAGCAATTCTAACAAAATATCTTTTTTAGGTTATTCCATTTCAAAAGAAGGTATATCACCAGACCAAGCGTTGATAGAAAAATACTAAAAGTAGCTACACCTACAAATAAAAAAGAATTGAGTCTCTTTTTTTGGGATTGGTAAATTTTTTGCAGGCGATACTTACCAAATACATGGACTTGACGGAACCATTTGCAAATTTAAGAAAAAGAATGTGGAATTTATGTGGTCAGACGAACAGAAAAGCTTTTGAAAGATTGAAAGAAATTATGTCAAAGAAACCTGTAGTGAAAATTTTTGATCCAAAAAAGGACATAACACTCACTACAGATGCAAGTGAACATTCAATATCAGGAATATTATCACAAGAAGGACATCCGATAATGTATTTGTCAAGAAGGTTAATGAACACTGAATTTAATTACTCAAACATAGAGAAAGAAGCATTGGCTATCGTGTGGACAACTACCAGAGCCCGACAATTTTTAATTGGAAAAAAATTTATTTTAAGAAGTGATCATAGACCATTAGAGTTTATATTTAACCCAAGGAAAGAATTACCCAAAGTCACGACATTAAGGATTCTATGATGGGCGATAAGATTGATGGCATTTGACTTTGATATAGAGTATGTCAAAGGAAATTCAATTCCACATGTGGACACACTATCAAGATTGAGGTTTTACAAGGAGTCAAAAGACAAAACGGAGGAAGAATTTGAAGATTCATTCCTACACTTGATAGAGACTGATGTTTTGTCTTTAGACAGAATGGCTCTTGGAAATGAGACATGATCCAAAAGGTGTAGGATAGTATCGAGAATAAGGAAAAACTTCGTGGGGAAATTGTTCTAGGGCAGAAAGACCCTATAAAGAAATAAGGCACAAATTAACAATAGAACATGGAGGATTTGCAATGGGGAC